GCAGTCAGGAGCTGCTCCAGCCTGGATCCCTTCCATGGGGTGCAGTCAGTCCTGCAGGAACACCCTGGGTCCCTGTGGGGTCACAGCAAACCTGTCCYGGTGTGGGCTCCTCTCCCCACGKGTCCCCAGGTCCTGCTGGGAGCTGCTCCAGYCTGGRGTTSCCGGGGTCAGAGCCTCCTCCAGACCCCTCTGCTCCAGGCTGGGGTCTCCAGGGGCTGCAGGGGGATCTCTGCTCCATCCAGGAGCCCCATGGGCTGCTGCCCGGGCTCAGGGCAATGTCAGCTGCAGCTCCCAGAGCAGCTCCTGCCCCTCCTGCCCTGCCCTGGGGCTGCAGAGCTGCTCCTCTCACACATCCTGACCCCTCTCACCCAGCTGCAATTCCATGGGGATCTTCTTCTCTCCCTTCCTAAATGTTCTCCACAGGCACTGTCATGGGTGGGCCCAGTCTTGGCCAGGGGTGGGTCTCTGCTGGAGCTGCCTGGAATTGGCTCTGCCGGACACAGGGAGAGCTGCTGGCAGCTTCTTACAGAAACCCCACCACCACCAAACCCTGGCCATGCCAGACCAGTATAACACCCCTTCTAAAACTGAACTGCCACAGTTCAGAGCAGCATCAACACAGGCATCAGTATGAGTTGTGGAGTGTGATCAGATTAATTGGGATACTGGCAAGTTTTAAAAAATTGTTTTTCCTGTAGTACTAATTCCAATAGTGAAATGGAAAGACCATCCATGAAATCATGGGTTTTCTTGGTTTTTATACCTTTAACTACCTCGTTTCAGGTCATGAAGGAATGAGGGGAGATTAGCCTTTCATTCAGCTAGCTCAACATCCTGGCACAATGTTGCCATTTTAGACCACAAGCATATCTGTCAAATAATATGGTAGTTTTAAAACCCAATACATCTATTAATATKTTTTTAATATTAAACCTGATTTCAGATATTTAAGGAAGCAAAAACTGTAACAGCTCCCCCAGCTAAACCTGTAAGACAAACTCGCTGCCATCCAGATCCATCAGTTTATTGCAAACACGTGATTAAGRAAATGCTAGTCCTTGGGCAAGCTCGTCACTGACACAAGGAATGGCAATTTCAGAACATTYGTTGCCTTATCCAAGGCTGCCAAGTCTATTCATTTATTTGTAACCAAATGTTAYGGAAAACATCTGCTATTTGCCCTGAGTTAATGGTTAACTGATCAAAGATGGCTATTGATTACTGTGGCCACGGTGACTGGAAAAGGTGTCCTGGGAGCCAGCAGCTGCAGGAATTCCTCCCTCCCGACAGCAGCACAGAGCCCAGGGCCCTGCTCCTGTCCCAGCCATGCCAGGGGCTCTGCAGRGACCCTGGGGCAGGARGGGCTGCAGAGAACACAGGGGCACMCCTGGAACACACTGATGTCACTGCAGCATCAGGCCCTGGTGTGACATCTTTTTTCCCCCCTGGGCATGGGGAGGGAGCCCCTTCAGAGCCCACCAGCTCCCTGGACACTCCCTGCCCACCCTGCCATGCCAACACTGGCAGCTGCTGGTGAGTTCTGCCTGCTTGGCTGCGGTTATGCCGACAGAACCACGCTTTCCCATCCACACTTAATGCTGCTCAGAGAAGAGCAGGAATCCACAGTCTGTAACTTTCTGGCAATTCTGTCTATGAGTTGTTGTGCACAAATCTACTACAGTCCAAACTGCTTTGATAAATGAAAGTTATTACCTCATTTCTTTGCCATTGCTGCACTGAACCATCAGAAGCAGAAGAAGGATTTATTGTGGATGTTAAACTTGCACTGGCCTCTCCAAGCAAGTGATTTGTTAGGAGCAGCTGTCAGTTTGTTAACTTGTTTTCTCCAAGAGAGTAGTCATTACCTCCAGGAACGAATGACCACAGAGATGATTAGCATACTAAAAAAGCATATGTAAAATTCCAAAAGTGGAATATTTTGGAAAATATATATGCAGCTGCAGTGTTAGTGCAGCGTGAGCTCATAACTGCCTAGCAAAAGCCCTGATTACACGGCTGCTCAGGTCTGCTTTTCCACCAGTCCTAGCCCAGGCTGAACACTGCAAGCCTATGAAGCCCTGACATAACAGCTACATCACTTTTTCCCCCCAGATTCAATTCCAAGGCTTGTTAAACTGCCTGTGAAGAATGTTCTGTTGCAGAGCAAGCATGTCTCGTTTCTGACACTTCCCTTGACATGARTTCAGACCAACTTCTGTCTTTATAATTTCCTTGCCCCTCCTGATTCTGAGCACTCAGCTGTACCCAGCCCTTTAACACATCAACTGCTACATTTCTACCCAGCTAATCAGCCCTCTACAGATCTGCTGTCTCTATCCAGAAAAAGACTTGAAAGATGTTGCTTACACTCAAAGTTGCCATGCAGGCTGGCTGAGCCAGGAGTGCAGCATCACAGCAATCCTTGGCTGGGCTGGAGGGATGCTCACACCCTCACAGAGCGTTCAACCAAACGGGAGAGCAGAGACTGAACAAACTCACCRTGGACCCAGCAAAGACCACCAACAAAAACGGTACCAGAGAGAGAAGGAGCTCCCAGAGACTCCCAGCATGTGGCCAGTGCTCCCCACACCTTTAAGCAGGCCATTTCACTGAGCCTGGCCACGTCAGGGAGAGCACATCTCTGGACGCGAGACAGGCRAGCCTCCAGCACGGCATGGCAGCAGAGCTGCAGAGACACAATGCTCTCTGGGGAACTCGGCCCAGCAAACACCAAAATCAGCCCCAGCACAACATCACACAGGCGTCTTTTGATGTGGTCACTGACTTTGCTCCAGACTTAAGACCAAACACAATGCATTATAACCAGCAAAGTTATCAGCACCAACCTAGAGAAGATACTGAACKTCTGTGATTTTTCAGCCTGCTCGTACCTGTAAGAGTTCCCTGTGGTAGCCTGTGCATTACACGATGTTCACTTTGGGATCTGCATATCCAGTCCTGGGATACTTTTTTGGCCATGCCAGGCTGCTGCTTCAGAGACTTCAGCTGCCTCCAGCATTAGGAAAAAGGCTGTTCAATGCAGTGCATATCATGGCTGGTAATTATCTACCTTTTGGCCAGGCTTCATCCTCAGACACACATGGGATGTGTGCCTAACATGGCCTGTGCCTAACACCATCCTTATGGAACCTGAAGGCAAAGGTTTAGCACAAATGCAAGAAAAATGGTACCCTGTGGCCTCAGCTCCAGCAGGCAGCAGCTCTGTGAGCCAGGAGAACCCAGCTACCACAGCCAGAGCACCAGGGCTCAGGATGAGCTGCAGCTTCATTGTCTCACAGCCACACCGTATCTCCAGGATAACTGCTACATGCTGCCTACAGTAGGAAACAACCCAGCCCTGTCAGC